CTTATTCTTATATATTCTTAATATTCTTCTTCTTCTTCTTTTTACACCCTGTATAGGTATAAATTCTGGATACGTTTTTTTTATGTAATAAGTCGGCAAACGAGCAGACGGATTACGTGATGGTAAGCAATTGTCGCCGCCAATGGACAACGGAGGAATTACGAGTGCGTTGCCGACCTTTTAGGGATTAGGGATTTGGAGATTTTGGGATTGGGGAAGGGTCGGGGGAGAGGAAGGATTGGGCCTCCGGTAACCTCACTCACACGGCGAAACACAACGCTGTGGTTGCTTCACGCCGGTTTTCTGTGAGGCCGTGGTATCACTCCAGTCGAGCCGACCCATTCAGCATGGCTCTCCCACACTTACACGTGGTCGAACTCAAAAAGTTTATTTAGATATTATGTTAGCCCGAAGTAATACAATAACCAATTATCTACATAGAAACAACGGAATACTTTTTTAATAAAAGGAAATAAGCAAGTACCTACCTAACTTATATGAACGTTATTTGTCAAGCCATAAAGATATTAAACACAAAAGCTAACCAAAGAATAAATATAAATTATTTGTTGTTTCAATATTTCTTCATTGTATTTTTTATGTGATAGGGCCACAGACAATGACATGAGACGGATAACTTGATGTACCCAACACCAGAGGAATTACGAATGCGTTGCCGTCCTTTAAGGATTAAGGTTTCGGAGATTTTTGGATTGGGGAGGTGAAGAAGGATGGGCCCTCTGATAGCCTCATTCATACTACGAAACACTACGGTGTGGTTGTTTCACGCCTGTTTTCCAATATGAGGTCGTGGTATAATTCCGTTCGTCATTCGTACCGAAGCTAAGTAAACATAGAAACTCGATTGTACATAACATCATTAGTTTGAATATCTTTTTTTTTATTGTATAAGTCGGCAAACGAGCAGACGGATTACCTGATGGTAAGCAATCGGCGCCACCCATGGACACCCGCAATACCAAAGGAGTTACGAGTGCGTTGCCGGCCTTTTGGGGATGGGGGTTGCGGATATAAGGATTGGGAAGGGATAGGGGAAGGGTAGGGATTGGACCACCGGTAACCTCACTCACACGGCGAAACACAACGCTGTGGGTTGTTTCACGCCGGTATTCTGTGAGGTCGTGGTATCACTCTGGTCGAGCCGACCCATTCGTGCCGAAGCTTGGCTCTCCCACACTTAAAATATCTATCTATTGTTTTTATTGAGCGTAAAACGTATAGGTACCTACATATAAATTGTCAAAGGGCTACAAGAACAGACACTTAGGTAAACAATTTTAGAAAAACATAGCCCTCTTCAAGTTAGTCTTATCAGATTTTAATTAAAAACGCAACCCACAAACGTAATTCAATGACACGATTGCGGCATTTGCGGAATGAAATATAATTTGCAATATTCAGGGACGCTTTAATAATAAAGCACACACCTGCCGCCCTATCATTTATCTTCTTTCAATTAATATCTCTCGTAATGCAAATGAATACATTTCATTTTTGATATGCCGATTAACCTCATTCTACGTGAATACCGTTTGTTAAGGAACTCGGGAGACAACAATAACGGCCGGTACCTGACATAGATACTAGGCATAACTCGTCATTATGATGATAAATACAAAATTTCGATTCGTTCCCAGTTCTTGGTCGTGCTTAAACTTAGCTAATAGGTGCTTGGAGTTGCCCTGACGCAGCCGCGGTGGCCACCATTCAACCGATTTACGAGCTAAATGTATTGTAAGCGGCGTTTACAGCAAGTAATTCTAACAAATGACAGCTAACTGCTCATTGCATAATTGATTAAATAGCTCTGCAGGGAGGCTACACATGCAAACGATTAGTTATATTCGTAATTCCAGCGCCAATAAAAGTCTGCAGTCAGAGATTGATTGCGAATTCTCTACATCGCATCCTCGGCACGTCGTTTGAGTAAGTTCTATTCAAATAATTTTTACGATTACAATAATTTATATCGACCTACGAGTATGCTGGGTATGCAAATGTATTTCAATCTTTTCAATTAGCGACTTATCGTTAAAATATGCTAATGCGATGATAATTCTGTGATTAAAGTGGTGGACTTTAGAATTCAGCTCACGATTCTAATTAGCTTATTTAGCTATCCCGTTCTGGATGTAGGGATGCATGCAAACTGCATAATGTAAACATTTAGCAGGAGGCCCGCACTACGCGGAATAGACTCGGCCGCCAAGTTTATACAAGTAAACCATCCGTTGAAATGAAACAGATATGCGCAGAATAACGCACCTCCATATCATTACGACAAAATACTACACACTAACAGCAAATATACCAATTACTTGATGCAATTTAAAATCTGCAAGCGTCTCTGCGGATTATCAGCTGTTGCTCTCGAGTTCTGCAAATAATGCAACGTGTTCAATGTACCACTGAGTTAATTGAATGTGTTTTCGAAGCACCTTCGTCACATAACAAATACTAAAATGGCAAAAGGGAATTAAAAATAACCGATCAAGTCAAATTAGGTCTTATCAACACGAAATTCCTCCTAAATATATGAAATTTATCCTACCTTACACAGTAAAATGGTTCTAAAAATAAATTCTTGATGATAACATTAGAGAACAAGAATTCTGCGAACGAAGTAAGGGCAAAGTGCTCGTTAACAATAAGTTAGAATTACCTTGAGTAGCGTCCCACGAATGTCTACCAGGGAAAGTAGGTACCAGCATATGATGCTACCCGAAACTGTCAAACATTTGCAATAGAATCTCAACTTTATAGTGAAAGGATAAAGATGAGAATGAATTGGAGGAAATTGTTAGATAAGGGGAGCTTGATATGCAAGCAACATTCAACAAGTCTTCTCAACAACGTAAGATTGCAGCAGCTTTTCATGTCTCGGGAAAACGGTACAAGGCACATAGCTTTCTCTGAATCTTTTATACAGTTTATAAACGTCACTGGAATGCTGAGAAAGTTTCAATTCGTCTTGACAGTTAAGTTGAATGGTAAAGTACTTTACCTAATATTCACTTCTATTTGTTGGAGACACGCTTTTTGAGTGCTGATAGATAGTTTGATTCCTGTGGTAAGTAGAATTTTTATTTATGATGTTATTAAACATATAAACCTCTTCAATCACTTTACATATAAAAAACTGCACCAAAATCCGTTGCGTAGTTTTGAAGACTTAAGCGTACATAGGCATAGATAGGCATGGAGGGTCATAGAAAACGACTGTTTTGCAATACTTAAACTAGGTCTCATTTTTGATGCGGGATGGTCTTCATTTTTTACTAAAATCACCCCATTCCTTCTTCAGCTCTAGGTCGAGGCCCGTCTGTCCTCTAGGTTCCTAGGTCTCATCCAGATCTGTTTAAAAGATGAACTATGACATTATAATGTGTACATATGTAACATTATGTATATTGTTAAGATCACTGTTTACTTTCTCACCAATTTAATTTAAACTTTGATTACTATCCACACATGATTATAAGTTTGCTTTTAACAAACAATTTAAAGTAAACTAATATCAAATCAATGCAGGAGACTGGTTGAAACTATGATTGTTCCCTCCCCCAACAAAAATACTTGAGTTTATTCAGGATTTTTGGTAAGTAGGTACAACATTAATCATTGGCAGACATCATTAGTATGAAATTAATATTACATTAAGCAAGATTGAGAACTAAACAATATTTTCACAACTTTTGTAAGTATAATTAAAAGCTAAAAGTTGTATAAGTCATTTCTAACACTTGTAAGCATTTGCCCTACATATTTAATCAACCAATAGTTCATTTTTCAACGTGGTGACGATAACTAAAAATTTCATTTTCGCTATAAGTTACTTAAAAAAAACTTACAGATTTTACCTGCTTTTTCGAAACATTTTGAAATGCATTCGACAAGTTTTAGGTATGTCCTAGCATCTTCGGAGAATGATATTTTTTTCTAAACTCGGCTTTGTTAATAAAGATTTAAAGCTTCAAATGGCGTAAACAAAAATAACCTGAAAATATTTTTTATTGATTCTGTAATTCGTTTTCGTTAACAGTTTTTTTTTGCATAAAATTATCAGATTTAGCCCTGATAATCCTTCTGCGCCTGGCATAATGTGTTAATAAATCACCGCAGCGCCGGGATAGACAAGTATTTTAACACAGACCGGGTATTTGACGTAGATACCACTCAATCTGTCGAGCTTTGCGTCAGAGCTGACATCACAAATTTTTCCATAGGCTTTCAGCGCTAAATTGAGAAATATGAGCAATTCTAATGTTTTATCCTCATTCGTATTGATTTCAACTTTGTATTTCCGTGGTGTTTCGTCAATGACCTGTGTAACAAATACTCGGGGCTTACTCGCGCGTTTACTGCAGGTGAGTAAATTGTAAACACCAATAAAATGACTTCGAGCTAAGAGCTTAGATAATTTGTATGCGATTTAGATGCGAGCCGACGTTTATTGCAATCTTGCAGCAGAATCATTAGCTGTTTGCGAGCGCGGCGCATGCGACACTCAGCCTGTTATAGCCAACCTTACTTTCATTATTAACAATTAACATCTAAATCCTCTAATTCACTTGAATATAGGGTAACACTCAAGCAAATTATGCGAGAGTGGCCAGTAAAATTATAACTCAATTTACATAGTTCATTCGACACATGGATGCAATCGTGCCTTTAAATGAATGAGATAAGTGAATTAAAGTGATTCCTGTTTATATCTCCATAATTCTATGATTTAATGAACATCATAATTTGTCTATAATTCATCGTTGGTAACTTGAAAGGCGTTAGGTTTAATCCTTGTTTACAAGCTCTGTTATCTTGAAGTTTAATTAGGGGTGAGCTATGAGGGGTTAGTGCGTCGTTATCTCTGAAAGAATTTAGTGTTTACTTATCTGTTGGTCGGTAGCGCGGGGCGAGTGGGCGGCGGGACGCGGCCGCGTGTCGAGCGGAGCCCGGAGGCGGGAGCGACCGCGGAGGATCCCACTCCACGTCAAGTTGGAAGCGTAGCGCGACGCCTCACCGGACCGACGCCGCTCCGACCGCTCGTTGTACGCCCCGCGCGGGAAACTACGCACACGCATTTTCAGAACTTTCTGAAAACTTACGCTCTCAGTGAAAACTACAGAAACATCGAGTTTCTCCACCTCCTTGGATTTCTATAATGTTCAGTGTTTGTGACGTAAATATAAGCAGACGAACAAATTAATTAAGTTATAAGTTTGATAAGGATGTGTGTTGGAGACATTTCAGTGTTTATAAGTGAAAGTAATATACATATTCTTAGAATATTATGTTAGTTTAATTATGAGGGAAATAAAAGCTGGAAATATGAAGAAGAGGAATCACAGTCAGTCATCGGAAAAGCCGAAGGGAAAACGAAGGGTGAGTTTGCGATTAGCTGTTACTTAAATTTAGACATTTGTGTAACTACATACAATACTTAAATATAGGTCTTAACAAATAACAATTGAAACTGATTAATCAAATCTTTATTTAACCTTCGACTTAAGTCGTAATGAATGATGTAAATAAACACTTTTTGCCGCGCTATAAAAAGTTTAATTCTTCTGTTTTATTCTTCGGCCATTTGTCCGTAGTTACAATGAAAGCTGTGGATTTACTTTATAGCCTTAGTAATGTAAATTGAGAAAATAAATAGTTGTACGTACTATTCCTTACACGATTGTACTTGGCATCGATGCAATAATAAATGTAAAAGCAATTTTATGATACTTAATTAAATTTAAGTGCGCGCTTGTACCTAATATAGGAAGTATTATCTGTATCTGCAATAGATGTGGAATAAAATGAGGATTATATATTTTTAGAGAGAAAGGTACTGAATTTCTAACAGGAAAATAAGTATTAACATTCAGACTAGAATCAATCGTTACATGAAGATCAATAAAGCTGTTCTTTTTCAATTCTGTCTTTTATCAAGCGATGCAACAAACAAAACGGACCGATAATAAAGAAAGAAAACAGAGCCCAATAATATCTAACCGCGTCATTATTCATTATTTAATTATTACATTGAAATTCAAAGCATTTATTGCAAGAAATTTTGAAATATACAAGTTGAATTTTTCATCGGTATAACCGTCACTATAGGGAGGTTATTCTTTGCAAAAATTACGTTCGTATTTAGGAGAGCAAGCAAGAATCTCCATCGGATACCCCTTTTGCGGGGTAAGCGCAATGAGGTACCGCGACCTCGGCACAGAGCAGGAGAAGGAACAGGGGGGTTTTTAGTCAGTAAGAGTCTGACACTCCCTCCTGCCCGGCCCTGGGCGGGAGAAGTCATTTGATGATTTTCCCCTCACAAAAAAAAAAAAAAAAATCGGATACCCCTTTGCGTTGCTACAGTTTTTCCTAATGCGTAGGCAGGAGATACACCAAGAATATTATACTGATAATTGTTGTATTTTTTTCTATACCTGCTATATTAAATAACAATTCCCATGTTAGAATCGAAAATTGTAGATCAACCTAGAATATTCGGGCGGCCGGTTAGAAATAAATACTCTCAAATTTTTAAATTCAAAAACAAGGGACACTACATACTCTACATTCATATAAATACTATGCATATCCGTCTATACTTATATATTTTTTAATTTAACTTTGCAAAAGAAAGAGGTAATTTGGGGACGGTTTTTTTTTAATTCATACTAGAGTAACCTCATCGGTTGCGTACCTATTTACAAATGGAAGTGCTAAATGGGCAAGAGTTCACAGGGTTAAGGTACTGGTAGGGAAAATTTTTGGGCCATGTTCTGCTCTTTAGGAATAAAATAGTGAAGTATTTACAACAGTTACGTTTTGTGTAAAAAGTCCTTAAGGAGCCCACGCACATTGTTGCAGGATGAAATTAATATGTGCATACCTATATTGTTATAGGTATGTACATTTGTCTATACATTCCATTCAAACTTTTGTAAACACTATGCAAGACACCTTGTTAACATACATCCAAAATAAATATATAAACATTGACTTACATAATTTATTAATGTAGCAACACTGGAAACATATTTTAAAAACGGCGGGAACATGTTTTTTCACTTACAAGAACCATGTTTTATCCAACAAATGCATAACTGTGAATCAGTATTGTAGGTAAATGTAAAATATGAGAGATACATGTGTAAACGATGTTTGTACATAAATCTACATATTTATTTATTATTTGTCGTTCATTTATCATAGCTAAACATTAAATTACTTAATGAGTAACTCATTTGCTATCTAATTTTCGTAATGTTTATTGACTTTGTCGCTTTAGCATGCATGTGATTTTGTACGCATTTATAATTTTGTATATTCCTGGTTCTGTGTTTTGTTCAACAAATCAATGTTCCTGTAATGATATTTTTTCTGTGTGTACCCCTACATTCCCTAAGCCTAAGCTTACGTGACAAGTCATTTTCCTCCTTTCCCGCGTCGTAGTTTCAACCCGATCGTATGTTGTTTTTAAGCGGGAACTTGTCATTATGTTAATTCTCACACCATTCCTTCTCCTGCTCCGAGCCGTTTCGGTAGTAGAATATTGTGTCTGCTCCCGCAACCCCGGCTGAACCAGTCCTATACCTACTGAACAGTTCCCAGAACGAGTTGTTTTGTTACAGTTTTCGTTTTCGCAGTTGTCTCAGAGCGCACAGATCATAAGTATATGATCAGCTTATAAGTGCCCACTGCTTAGACTATTCTAATGTAAAATCTATTCTTACGCAAAAAAGGTTTGACAATTAAGCAACACGTTTTCTCAAGGCGGTTTGGCGATTTCAAACTTACAATTAAAATTATAAGTCTAGATTTCTCGCAATGTTTTCTTTCGACGTATTGATCATCATCTAACGTATAACTCTGCAAAAGCCACATTGTTGCTTGCGAGGCTTCGAGCTCGCTTCCACATGAATGAGAAGTGGGGTTAACTTCTGGACCACAAGGAACCGAGCTCAATAGTAGTGAAGCCTGTGACATATTTCAATGAAACTTTTTGCATCAAATAGTGACTATCATGAGACAACTAAATTTATTAAAAAAACGATTGCGCGTAACCGCGACGCGCACGCTTATGAATATAAGACTTGTGATTTGAAACAAGTAAAGCTTTTTAAGTTAATTGTGGTGAGTTATTCAATATTTTTTAACATCACAGATAAAAAAAAAACACATTGATTTAGCATATAAATCTCTTGGAAATAATAAAACATGATGGATGCCTTTTCACCGAACATTCCGCGGGAAAGTGAAAAGTGGAATACATATTTTATCCACAGGAAAGTGAGTTTCCTCTTAGGAATCACTTAATTACTGAGTAGCTAAGTAAGAAGTACTTAAAACATAATTTGACTCACAATAACAGGGTTGTTTACTCCAAACTGAATGGGCAAGTCATAATTGTTATTTATCACGTAATTATAACTCAAAATACACACCAATATACAGTGAATTTATAGTCAGAGTAGCCATTTAAGACCTACAAATTGAATGAAATTGGTGTTTGGTAAATTCTGATATTTATTATATTGCTAGCGACCCGCCCCGACTTCGCACGGGTGCAAAGCCGATACTTTTCTCTACTGTTTAATGGATGTCAACCTCCATCTTCAATCACTTATTTAAAAAAAACCCGCATCAAAATCCGTTGCCTAGTTTTAAAGATTTAGGCATACATAGGGATTTGGGTTGCGGGGTAAGCGCCATGAGGCACCGCGACCACGGCCCAGAGCAGGAGAAGGAACGGGGGGGTTTTTAGTCAGTTAGAGTCTGACACTCGCCTTACCCTGGGCGGGAGAAGTCATTGGATGACTTTTTCCTGACAAAAAAAGGCATACATAGGGATATAGGGACAGAGACAGCGACTTTATTTTATACTACATACATATGTGTGTCGGTGAGTGATTTCACTGGCTATGTAAGTTGAAGGATTTAGTCTGTTATTCAAGGGCGTATTATTATGTTTGTATAGGGATAATTTCTTCGATATTAGAACAAAAACACTTCTCTTAATTGAGTCTAGCAATTATGAGCATCTGATATCTGGTGCTGGATATAATTGGATTTATTAGGACATTGTTGTTTACCATCAGATTATTATAAGACTCAGTAATTATATTTACTGTCTGGAAGTCTATTTGAGAACCTTCTTTCTTAAGTTAATAATTTGCTAAAAGTATTTAGGTATCAAATGTTATAATTGCGAAAAAGTCGATTGTCAATTCTTTTTTTTTGTTTCTCTGTTCAACTTTATTTTACATCGAAATACATATTTAGAAAGATATGTAGTATGCCTCTGCTAGTGTTTTCCTGCTAATAAGAGTGATGTTCTAAGGAAGTAAGGGAAAAAATAGACTAGAACTTTTTCTTCGCTATCTTTTTGCTTTGACCACGCCGGATTTGTTACAAGGCATACTTTTCAATATAAAACTAATTATACTTAGGTACTATATGTAGAAAACAACTTTTATTCAATTCAATAATTGAAGTCTAACATTTTATTCTAATTGAGTTAGAAATGTATAATGTAACAGTAATTACTTAAAAAAATAGTAATAATTACACATTATTATTTACGTTGTTCAATTCCACGAAATGAAACGAGACCGAATAGCTAGTAGGCGCAACTTTAAAATAACTTGTACCTATTAAAAAAAATCTACAAATAATAAATGAGTGTACGTTGCTCGGTACTAAGATAAAACTACTTACACATAATATCGATAAAGCCACCATTCAAAATGAACTTAAAACATGAATAACAATCACCATTCAAGTTTAGTTAAAATTACTAACAATATGGACGACCTACGACCTTTTGTTTTCGATGTCGGTCAAACTAAACGAATTCGGACGCTGCCGCGCTGTTAGAACTTTGAAATAGTTTGCAATCGTCACATGACGTAACTTCATTCAGGATCAAACAATGCCGACATTACATTTACTTGTTACACGTTATTATTAAAGAATTTGCTTCCGATGTAGTATACTTTTTGTCTCGTGTGTTTATTTTTTCAGCAATAATTAGTATGATGGCTGATTTAGAGGTATTTTTACAAGCAAAAAACAATGTTATTGAGTACTACTTAGCTCTCCCGTACCCTATAGATCATAGCGTTGTTTTATACCGAATAGCGTTTCCCGATAAATAGACTACTTTATACAATTCGAACCAGTAGTTTTGGAGATTACCGCGTTCAAACAAACAAGCTCTTCAGCTTTGTAATAATATATCTAATAATGTATAGATTAAATCACAGAATTGATTAAGAGGTACACCGACATAATTATTAACGTCGAAGGTATAAACAATGGTGTATTAATGCTTTCTTATATTAAAAATAAGCGATAGAGCCTTTCTTTTAGATAGATAATTAATT